TCTGTCTGTGTCTCTCTCTCTCTCTCTCTCTCTCTCTCTCACCCCCACAAACACACACACACACACACACACACACACACACACACACACACACTCGAGCAAAACCTAGCTGTTACCTGTGTTTACAAGGTAATTCTCGAAGCATCAAGTTATATTATTAGCCTGAACGGGGAACCGAGGATGGAAGGGAAGTGGTCAGTTTTTGTTTTGGGATTTCATTTTCAATTTAGCTTATAACAGTGCAGATGTTGCCATATTCTGGAGTTTCCCTCTTTGCTCTGTGCTCTCCCCCCTCCCCTTTTTCTTTTGTCCTGAATAGAATTGTCATTTTAATAGAAGCTGTATGCATGGATAAGATATATCTTGACGTTTTGAAGCATTTCGAGTTTATGCATGACGCTTTTTGGCATGAGAGGAGGGAAAAGTTTATGACATTGTTTAAAACTGCACGAAAAATTTCTTTTCATCAGGAACAGTTGAAATTTTTTACTTTCTATGTTTGCAGTTTTGTTGTTCATACTACTTCTAACCATGTTGTTAGTTGAAAGATACATACATACTGCTTCTAGTGCATTTTAAATTAGCCACTTGTGTGGGCATTTGTACTTTTATTATTTTTTTCATTTACGAGCATTATCCACAATAATTTAGTGCCTGTAATACACAGTGGGACAGAAATTACGATATTGTTTTTTAAAATATTAATTTATCTTTTTGTGAAAATCATTTCATGAATTTACGCTTGAATATAGCTGACATTTGTGTGCTGTGTCGAAAGAGCTCACCGACGTATGGCAAAATGAGTAAAAGAGGGCACAGATTGGCGAGGAAAAAAATGGAGGCCCCTTATACTATGCAATGATTCATAAACAGAGCCTTTAAAATTGTCATGGCTTACTTTGAATTTATCTCTCAACACTTTTTTGTTTTGTTCATGTATTATTCAGTTATTTATTGATTTATAAAGGGTATCGTGACTTCTGTGTGCCACTCTGCACTTAGACTTCTCTGGGGAAGTTGTCATCAGAATCTTCGCACAATGACATCAATTATTTTGTCGCTGAGGGCTTTTTTTTTTCAATCTCAAGTGAAATTGTACACAGTGACTTGTCAGGTTTCATGGTTTCGGTTAGGTTCAGAAGTACTGTCGCTTTGTAGGCTGCAGACTGCTATTTCCTTTTTCAAAGCTTCTTTTAGTTTGTTATCATAAACTGTTGGACTCTTATGCAGTTGCGAGCGCCGTAAAACCCCATACTAAACTAAAAACTATTGACTGGTCAGTTTTCTTTAGCTGTACAGAGTACGTCAACAGTTGTGTGAAGGAATTACAGTTGCTATTGTAGTGTGCTGGGCATGTAACACGTGTAACACATGTCTATGATGATTGGATAGACGTGTTGTGTTGTGTTGTGGATCCAGTGCCATGTGCTACCTGTGTATGCTTGTGCGTGTTGTTGCTCTGTGAAATGCTTGCTCTTTTGTCTTTGCTCTGGCTCTTTCGGCTTGTGATTTTTGTGAGAAAGTGCTGCATGCTGTTTGCTTTGTGGCTATGCTGTTTGCCCCGTGACTCTTAAGCCATGTTGTGATACTGTACAAGTAGTAGTGACTTTTATGCTAATGTGTTGAACGCTGTGCCATGTTTATCGCTCGTACTTGTTGATGAGTTCATGATTCAGGCTGTTCTCTTTGTGTGACCCAGGCCTGTGAGGAGAGTAAGAATTCTTCAGTCGATTGAGGGGTTCTACTGATACTTGTTTTATTTTTTCCGTACTATTCTCTACTTTTCATTAAGAGAACTTTCTGGGGGGGGGGGGTTAATTTTTTTTCTTTCCACTGTCAAACAAAGATAGAATCTTGACGAAATCTGTGATGTTCTGTTCTTAGGAAAGGGAAAATTAATGCCCTTTCTTTGTAAGTTTGGGTAATTTGAAGTTTTTTTCAGTTTGCAGTGTAATCTGATTATTTTCTGTTCAGTTGTATGCTTCTGTTTAATACCTTACTGTGCTATCTTATGTCTTATGGGTTTGTTTAAGCGGGTGTTATTATGCCGTCAACATGTCTATGCCCTCCGTTTGGTTGGACCGCACACATATTTTGACCTTTGACCTTTCTGTGGCTGGCAGGATGGGGCGGACGGCCAGGGCAACATCCACCACCAGCAGCTGAGAGTCATCCTGGGGCAGCAGACCAAGCTGAGGATGGCCAAGAAACAGGAGGAAGCCGAACGTATGATGGGACAGGGCCCGCCCGGCTGGCAGGATCAGACAGGTCAGTCTGCTGGGGGAAGAATTGGGA